GAAAAATACGATGCACAAGGTTGCTGAGAACCTTTTGACATCCACTCAGTATTCTCCATCTTGTTGGGACCCTTCGACGTTCCCAAAATAGTTTTAACCTAACTTCACCGTGCCGTATTCCACACTTGCCCGCTCAAGTATAATGCTAAAATGTCGTATGGCCACCTTGCCCTGGAAGGGACCACAAGATACTTAATTACAGCCACCAGGGCTGCCACTTTGCTTCGGTATTGCCCTTGTTCTGAATGAATGTTGAATCTCAATCTCCTTGCCTTGGAGTATCGCAAGTTTCGGAATTGATATACATGAACCTACAACTCTTCAATTCCAGATTCATCACACGTTTTGCACAATTTCTTTTAGCGCATGTCCCCGAGAATATGCACTCAGTCTATTCCGACAGAGGTACCCTGGTCCACACTAGAGCAATCCTTTCTCCTCAGTATTTGTTACAGGTCGGGTGAACTGATAGGCTCTCCCACTTGTTTTAGGCACAATAACAACTAAATCCCTTGGAAACGTGCCCATTAACACTCCACTCGTGCCTCGCCACTGAGCCCATTCTATAATTTAGCACGTTTCCAATGTATCTCACAAACTTGTTAAAGCGCACAGTCACAGGTGGTGAAATCCCGTACTGTGCACTTCCTTCTTCACACACGCCACCCCGAATCTAACGGCAGATTTCGTGAGCTAACGAACCACGTTCACGGTCCTTTGTCTACTTGTCCGTAGACCTTGTGAGATCGTTGAACTTATTCCTCAAACGTACTCCGAAGAAACCTTTGTCATGTGATTGGTTGAATCGCTGAACGGGGCCTAATGATCTCAAATGAGGACCCGTGGTCGTTGTTTGTCCGGTCGCTCACGCCCAACTTGTTGGTGAATAGGCTTTCGTGGCGGGTCAATTTAGAGAGATGCCGAGTAGCAAATCCGATTTGTATAGGAGTATTGCATCTTTCCTTCAAACTGAAGTTGAAAGTGGTGGATATACCTCAGAAATCACCGAAAGCTTAGAGGGTAATTAACTCCATTATGACCATAAACCTTAAAAATTCACTTGTGAACGGTGCTACTACTTGAGGTTTCTCAATTTTAATAGCTCAGGGTGCATCAGTGAATATCAATTTTACCACAATCTTTCGATTTTCAATTTCTGTGACCTAAAATGAGGAGCTCACTGAATAAAATTTTCGCCTCATGTTAGTTTATTTGCACTGCATTTGTTTTGTCTAGGTTACACTCTTTTTGCCCAAGATGTAACGGTTTAATCGTGCAATCTCCGGTGACTTGCATGGTTTCTGTATGCACGCGCTGCGAGTGTTGTTGACAAGCCAGTGGCACCTAAAGCGCCATCAAGCGACTATGTATAACTATACAGTCGCAAATGAGGTTGTGGTAATAGCATCAGCCTACCCCAGTGGTTAAAGCGCGAACTTACTTTTCTGAATGTGCTTGTTTGCAACCAAACCTGCACCTCGGCTACCCCTGTCTGGGCTTGTGCAAGCAGACATTATCTCATCGTTCGTGCTTCCTATCGGATGGCATAACAGCTGTGCACCGCAAAGGCGCAACAGTTTGGCGGACAACCAGCTGCGTCCTTCAGTGTCCGTGTTAGATTTTGGTAGCTTCTAGGCCTATTCTACACTTGACCTTTCTTCGGTGGCAGAGCAGATTGGAGGTATTCGTGATTTTCGCAGCCATTGAGGTCTAATTTGTTTCTTGTTGCAGGTGGCAGAATAAAATTTATTGGATTGCGCGGGAAGGTAGGCCTGTGAGCCCACAATCAAGGTTGATGTGATGGTACAGAGCAATAGCTCCCGCTCTAGCTGATCCGTCCAGTCTGCCGATAGTGAGATCGAGCAATGAAATTTCTGTCCGGGGTATGGGGGTGCACGTCGGGTTTCGGTCACTGCAGCACTCCTTAGCAGCTTGGTTGTGAGAAATTTCCAGTTCGGTGTGCGCGTTTTAGAGTTTTTGGTTGTCGTTTGGGTACAGTTTAGAGGCCGAGAGTGAGGCAGACCAGAAGGGGGTTGGAAACCTAGATGGCGGAGCGTACCGTTTTTTTACGGTACTGACATCCATTTTTCCCTTGTTTCCTGGCTAGCTGCATCATTACCAACAGCATGGCATAAGCTTTCAACATTGGTGTTTCGCTGCCATACAACCTGGATCTATTTGAATGCCTTATTTTGAGAGGAATAAAAGTGGATGGGTAGGGGACTTAGTGCCAGCTTCTTACAATCACTCCAGATACTCATTTTGAAAATCTGGATAGAAACACAACAGCGCCACTGAGATCGATCAGCAGCAATAACTTGCAGCGTCTTCAACCAAACGAAATGTGATCATCATTATTGTCAGCTGCATCAGTTCGACACTGGTGCTTCTCTGCCGTACAACCATAAACTTGTCTAGTTATATTTAGTGTCTCAGAATTAAAAAGACGAAAACAGTGGACGAGGGAGGTGACCTGATACTGGCCGCAGAGTTTCTGCGTCCGCCGTCCAAGGTTTACGTCAGTTGTAAGTTCCGGGGTAGTGGCAGCAGCTGGCTGCGAGAATTGTTCGAATAATTCCGCTCACCGGTCCGAGCATTCTCTTTATTCTAGACGGTCACTCCACTCTGACCCTTGGTAGTTTATTTGTATGTGATGGATATATGGATATATGGATTGGGATACTGTCAAGGAGGCCACTCCTAGGCAGAAGCACGATTAGTGTTCTCAACCAAGGTCTTTGGATCAAAATATGACTGCAAGGCAGCTGTGTTTGGCGCTACCGATTCTACAGAACAAGTTGCCATTAAGGTCTTTGGATCAAAATATGACTGCAAGACAGCTGTGTTTAGCGCTACCAATTCTACAGAACAAGTTGCCACACATGTTCAAACCCCCAACTTGGAGGGCCTGGGAACTGTGTTAATCAGACTCCTAACCATCGATCATTTTAGCGTGAGAGACTGCGACGGTCGCCCGGACACCCCAGCATAACTCAATGGGTTGTTGAGGCACACAAACTGTCACGCTACAGTAAGCTTAGGTTTTTTCGTTACGGAAGGCTAGTTTCCTGCCAGCGGCCAGTTTGACTTCCCTTCCACAGTTCTAACCCATTAAGCTTGTTTAGGCCCCTTGCTCAACCTTACGTGTCGCCAGCAATAGTGTAAGTGCTTTAGCGATGCTGGGACAAGTAACAGTGTGTATTGGGGGGAGTATCTGAACACCGCCCTATTCATCGCAGGAGAATTTAAATTTCTCCGTTCGGAGAGAACCGTATATGAGTTCATGGCGCATATCATTCGGCTTGGGTAATGAGATGGGGGGAACTGACTTTTATTCTTCCGCAGTTGTTGTCTCAGGAGAATTTAAATTTCTCCGTTCGGAGAGAACTGTATATGAGTTCGTGGTGCATATCATTCGGCTTGGGTAACGAGATCGGGGGAATTGACTTTTATTCTTTCGCAGTTGGTGTCTCAGGGGTAGTTCGGTTGTCCGTCCACAATGTGGTCATTGGCGCGTTTTTTGCCGTTGACCTGCATTTTACATGTAATTTACAGTGTCGCACAACTTCGGCTCGTCTAGTGGAATTAAGGGCCTGTCTGAGGTCAATGGCAGAGTTTGAAGAGCAGATCTTCGGAGCGTTCTAGTAGTCACTGAAGCTTTTGTTTCACTGTTCAACGCACTGATAGTCAGGTCTGTTAGTGATGCGGAATCCTTGAGAATTTAGTTTGACCGAAGTATGTAGCTGAGGCAAGCTGACAGGATAGATAGATAGATAGATAGATTGGGTAACACGATGAATTTCTTGTATTCTACAAACGTGTGTGAAGTTCGAATTTCTAAACTCCTTACTACTTGGGACTGGGGCCATAACACTACCCTGGTATTCCATTTAGCATCGATTAGACGCTTCTGTTTTTTCTGTCTATACATTTGTGAAGTTCGAGAGACATGTTATTCTTATTTCGTGTGATTGTATTTGCAAACTACATCAACGCGTTTGACACCCTAAGGGCACCCGACGCAGCCTGCATCCAGTTCTTGATATGAAAAAAAGATGTCTGCTCCGCATTTTCCAATTGAATTTCACCACTTCTTCTGGGTCAGGTTTTCGGTGCCGTACAAACTAACTTCAATCTGTAGAGCATGCTCGTCTGTCTGATTTTGTCGTAAAACCATCACTTTCATAGAACTTGATATTTTGTCACTTCACTTACCATGTAAACAAAATTGACAGGTCAGATGGTATTGGCTACTAACCGCAAGGTTTCGGGTTCGATTCTTTGTAAAACTTTGTAATTCTAAATTCACTGGTGATTAGTAACGATGATGGCACAGCTGTGCAGTGTTCTTCGGCTTTGAAGCAATGGTTGACCGTTTGGTAGCTAAAATATCTCAGAATCCTAAAGCAATATACCCAACACTTATGTCCATGTTTTTTCTACACAGGTTTAACAGTGGTTTTCGCCGTCACCATTTCGTAGATTGAGGTAAAGTTATACATTAATGGAGGTAGTTGTTACATTTAGAAAGAAAGTATAGTATCAACTGCAGAATGTTGTTGTGATCACGTCAGTTGAGAGTCTGCCTTCACGAGAGCAGTTCCGAGCACAGAGAAACCAGTTTGTGTCGTTTGCATTCCTGATCAGTTCTCATGGCTTTCTTCTGCATGTTTTGAATAATGTTAGTCGGGTCACCAAATGCATGACAATGTAGAATGCTTTTGTTACCGGGCCTTCATTTCTTCGCAGTTGTATATTGAGTATGTCTTGTTCTTATCTTGCTTTCGGTGTTACTTTTATGCCTATTTGCTGGATGAGTAACCGAATGACATTTTTTCCATCGTTTTCTCACTCCCCCGTCTCAGTCGCTAAACAATGTCTTGAGAGTGCATTTAATCTCCCTGCGGAGACGAACAGATCAATCCCGGACCTTTTGGCCCTATTTAACGCGGCATCTAAGGTTTTTGTCCACTTTCCCTGTAATGTTGTTTCCATAGGACGCAAAATCCTCTTCTCAGCCGGAACCAACAGAAGAAGCCAAAACAATGGCCGAAACTCTAAAAAATCAAGGTATGGATTTTTTTTTGCCGTCGGCCTGCATTTTACCTGTAATTTACAGTGTCGCACAATTTCGGCTCGGTGGAAGGAATTAAGGGCCTGTCTGAGGTCAATGGCAGAGTTTGAAGAGCAGATCTTCGAAGCCTTCTAGTAGTCACTGAAGCTTTTCACTGTTCGCTTCGGCTCGTCTAGTGGAATTAAGGGCCTGTCTGAGGTCAATGGCAGAGTTTGAAGAGCAGATCTTCGGAGCGTTCTAGTAGTCACTGAAGCTTTTGTTTCACTGTTCGACGCATTGATAGTCAGGTCTGTTAGTGATGCGGAATCCTTGAGAATTTAGTTTGACCGAAGTATGTAGCTGAGGCAAGCTGACAGGATAGATAGATAGATAGATAGATTGGGTAACACGATGAATTTCTTGTATTCTACAAACGTGTGTGAAGTTCGAATTTCTAAACTCCTTACTACTTGGGACTGGGGCCATAACACTACCCTGGTATTCCATTTAGCATCGATTAGACGTTTCTGTTTTTTCTGTCTATACATTTGTGAAGTTCGAGAGACATGTTATTCTTATTTCGTGTGATTGTATTTGCAAACTACATCAACGCGTTTGACACCCTAAGGGCACCCGACGCAGCCTGCATCCAGTTCTTGATATGAAAAAAAGATGTCTGCTCCGCATTTTCCAATTGAATTTCACCACTTCTTCTGGGTCAGGTTTTCGGTGCCGTACAAACTAACTTCAATCTGTAGAGCATGCTCGTCTGTCTGATTTTGTCGTAAAACCATCACTTTCATAGAACTTGATATTTTGTCACTTCACTTACCATGTAAACAAAATTGACAGGTCAGATGGTATTGGCTACTAACCGCAAGGTTTCGGGTTCGATTCTTTGTAAAACTTTGTAATTCTAAATTCACTGGTGATTAGTAACGATGATGGCACAGCTGTGCAGTGTTCTTCGGCTTTGAAGCAATGGTTGACCGTTTGGTAGCTAAAATATCTCAGAATCCTAAAGCAATATACCCAACACTTATGTCCATGTTTTTTCTACACAGGTTTAACAGTGGTTTTCGCCGTCACCATTTCGTAGATTGAGGTAAAGTTATACATTAATGGAGGTAGTTGTTACATTTAGAAAGAAAGTATAGTATCAACTGCAGAATGTTGTTGTGATCACGTCAGTTGAGAGTCTGCCTTCACGAGAGCAGTTCCGAGCACAGAGAAACCAGTTTGTGTCGTTTGCATTCCTGATCAGTTCTCATGGCTTTCTTCTGCATGTTTTGAATAATGTTAGTCGGGTCACCAAATGCATGACAATGTAGAATGCTTTTGTTACCGGGCCTTCATTTCTTCGCAGTTGTATATTGAGTATGTCTTGTTCTTATCTTGCTTTCGGTGTTACTTTTATGCCTATTTGCTGGATGAGTAACCGAATGACATTTTTTCCATCGTTTTCTCACTCCCCCGTCTCAGTCGCTAAACAATGTCTTGAGAGTGCATTTAATCTCCCTGCGGAGACGAACAGATCAATCCCGGACCTTTTGGCCCTATTTAACGCGGCATCTAAGGTTTTTGTCCACTTTTCCTGTAATGTTGTTTCCATAGGACGCAAAATCCTCTTCTCAGCCGGAACCAACAGAAGAAGCCAAAACAATGGCCGAAACTCTAAAAAATCAAGGTATGGATTTCTGTGTCGCCGACATATCCAATACCGCATTTCAGGAAATCTTTGTATGAAGGAGGGTCAATATGAAGAGGCGATTGCCTGTTACACAAAGGCCATTGAGCTTTCACCTCATAATGCAGTTTACTTCTGCAACCGGTAGTTCCTTTTTGGGAGTTTTCTTTCTGTTCGTACATCATCAGTTCAATTCACGAGCAGGTTGCTGCACGAACTGTTGACAAATTTTATGTGTTCACAGTCTTTCTAAGTGTGATTGGAATGAACTTGTTTTGCAGGGTTATTGGTTCATTCGGCAGAAGACGCGGTTCCAAAGGCGCACATCAAATAAACCGCAGTGGTTTTTCCGCGCAGAAGTAGGCTTAAATTTGTAGCACGCATTATACCCCTGAATCACCTTTGCTGTTCATCAACTTGGTGCGGTTAGTAGGTCAGAAGGCTTCGCGGAATACCGTTACATGCCATAAAATGCTTGTAAATGACAAGTACCACAAGGGTGACTTTCGTCAGCACACTCTACTGATGTTGGGATCGGAAATTCAACACAGACTTTCCATTCTGGACCAATGAACAAGGATTGCCAGAACACTGAGGAGTTGAAGAGGGATAGGAATTAATCAGGACAAATAAAGTCCTCTTAGTTTAGTGAAAGCCGATTCGAAAGGGTCAGGGCAATGAAAACGATGGGGTAAACTAACTCGAGTGTCTGATAGTGATTTGAGACTAACCTGCATATGCAAACGAGTTTTTATACAAGGTCACGACAACCATATTCCAAAAAACTTGAAGGAACTCAGTGCATTCAGCTCCGAAGATATCAAAAGTACTAGTTAGGGGTGCCAATTAAGCTATTTTTGAGTTGTGTACAGGAGTGTAGTCAACTGACACTTGTACAAAACGTGAACATGCGACCAACTGACAACGGGGTTAACGTGAGTTGCATGATATGCCCCTTGTTAAATGACACTGTTTGCATTAAACAAATAGAGTCATTCCTGACTGGGATCCTAGTGAACACCTAAACTGTGACTTAGTATGGTTCGACCGCCGTTGTAGCTCCACTGTCGACAAAAACCCCAGCACCCAGTGTTGTCCGTCAGTATCTTTAGGCGAACTGAAGGATATCGTGTGCCTCCGAATTCATCGTCGTTTTTTCGACAAGCCTCTAAAAATCGAGTGACTGAGAACTGCTATCAATCGATCGGTATTAGGAGATCTTTTTTGAAAAAACATTTAGCTGTAGCATACTTTCGGTGCCTAACTGCCATGCCACCAGAAGTAAGCACGAGGTCGGTTACAAATCACGGACCTTCCAGTCAGTATATTCGCGTTCTAGCCACTGAGCCATTTCACCATCTCGTTCTACGAGGTGTTATGCGATCAGCTTTCTAGCAGTCAAATATCTTAAGGGTGTACGCGATCCTCAGCGTGTAGGACAATGAAATGCATGCTATTCCAACATACTCGGGGTACTCTGGAACTCTTAACCTCATCTGCTCTGTATCTGTTTTCATTAAGTATGGTCAGGGAGGTGTAATTTTACCAAGTCGACAAAGATTTCAGACAGCGACTTGGATGAAGCCTGGCTTCACACTCTTGTTTGGTCTTCTTGGCATCAACGGTTGACCCGGTGATGGTTTCACAAGGCTGTCTGAAAACAGGCTTACACCAACGNATTCCCGAAAGAGATTTCGGTTCAGCAACGTTCCAATCGTCTGAGCTGTAGGTCATTGAGGATAGCCAGACATTCCATGTAAAGTCGGTGTCCTGTCTGATGCTTGTGGACATATGGGTAGCACGAGTTTTATTAACCATTGTCAACCGGTTTCGGATAGAAAATGTACCTGAATCATCGAGTCGAAAATCAGAGCGCCATATAAGCCGGCGCGAACCCATAAATAGTGCATCAAATTTGTTGAAGTCAATCGGTATTACGCATGAATAACTGCTAAGGGTGGATATAAACTTAACTGAAAAATTATTGAACAATTTTGCTGAATTAGCCGATGACGGCGCCTTACCTTTGTCGGGAGTCATCACTTGTCACCGGTTGACAGATGGAAAACTACATAAGTTGGGAGATAAAGTGTTTTAAAACCTTCGTAGATTTGCACTTGGGTTGTCTTACAAGGCAGATCGCGTTCCCATCTTGGTTGCAAAATTTCACCGACAATCACTGGAAATATATATCTCAGTGAATCTTTCTGTGTCCACACTCTTGTACTTGTGATTTATTCGGTTATTCTGGATAGATATGAAGCGAGGGTCTAGGGGTGGTCTTCTTCTTTCGTGAAATACTCTGTCCCACAGTGTAGGTCTTGGATTTGTAGTGGTAAATTAGACACGTTGGTCTTCACTTGCGATCTGTTTCGTACGACAGATATCTTCTCGGTTTCGACCACCCAGCGGTAGGAGTAGATTTGTTTCTCCATCATGCAATACCATCATGAAATAATATTTCTGTGATTATTTCGCCACCATTTCAGTAGCAAACTGTTTTGGCTTGCCGTTATTTCCTCCCTATTCGCCTACCTAACACTTTATTCGGCTTAAAGCTGTCCGAGCGGATTGAAATTCTCACGGTTGCCAGCTCGTGCGGATTAGTTACTCTTACTCTTCTGTATCATTCCTCTCGTTTCGACATAGGGCTGCTGCTCATTCTCGTTTGGAACAGCAGGATAAAGCTATTGAGGACTGCCAATCTGCATTGAAAATCGATCCGAAGTACAGCAAAGCCTATGGTCGCATGGGGTGAGTTTTTACGCTTTTTTCCGGCGTCATGAACTGGCAACTTGTTCACACGAATCTTCTCACCCGCACGAAATCCGTTCGTGTTGTCGGTCGCTGTTGACCCTCCCCTATTTTTTTCGACCCAAACAATCTCCCTCCCCATTCCTAATTAATTGCTCTCCTAGCAAGGAGATTTCGGTCGTAGATAAAAACTGGGCGAAACACTTTGGATATTTTCTCTTCTGATGCACCTTATTTGATTATTCATACAGCTACAATTAAAGTGTTCATTGGCTGAACGGAAAATGGATGCGTTTTTCGAAAACACAGATCAAATCTCTAAGCTTACTCTCACCTGATACACGAGATCGTTCTTGATGGGCTTGGGCAATCTGGCAGCATCCCAGCCCTCATTCAACCTTCGGGTGGCATGGCAGTTAGGCACTGAAAGGGTGCTACAGCTGAGCGATTTTTTCCACACTGTTCTTGGGGGTAAGGCCATTTGGCAGCAGCGCGAGGGTGTGAAGCTAGGGGAAGATGTAAGGCCTAATCGTGTGATCGAAAAGTATCCCAGACTGAATGATAAAAAGACGCATATCACATCATATTCATTTAGAGATCTAATGATAATGCTCTTAGTTATTTTAAGTGAACCTGGAGCGTATCCCTGCGCGGAACATTCACCGCAGCCTAGCTGGCCTTCAAGGTTGTGTAATCACCACCGACCGAATCTCCAACGTCGGCTTTATCAATTAGCCGTTGCATGTACTAAGTCACCTGCAGTTACTGGAATACACATCGGTGGAACTGACCGAAGGCTAGAAACACGAGGAAAAGTGCACCTACCCCATCGAATTCTCACCCTGTTGGCTGATCGTGATTTAAGTTATGAGTCCAAAATCAATTAGTCAGTTACAAGCATCTGGTCAAGACAGGACACAATTGAGTTTTGCTCTCCTTTCTAAGCCATTGTGCGAAGCAGCCGTCTACATGGACTGAAGTTCCTCGAGGCCATGTTACTTGGTTGTGGCCTGCGTGCTTAGAAAAACCTGAGAGTTACTCTGAGACCACCTTGTTTTTATTGATTGGTTATATTACTGTGTAACTGGCCCTGTATTTTTATTTGTTTCATTCTGTTTTGCGTGTATCGCGGGAGATGAGCTTGTGCGATATGAATCCACCGGAAACATTGCTGCTCTCACCTTCTTGTTCAAGTGGATCCCTGGATCACAATGCTCCAAAAACGCCCACTAGGCTGTCGCCGAATTCCCTTAATATGATGACACCGAAGTTCTGTGAGGCTGTATTCAGTTCGTAGCTGAATGTGAGTCTAGATCGGGTTAATTTGACACCTTATACGCGGTCGTGGGGTAAACCGGTCATGCTGAGTAGGCGTTTGAACCGAATCCTCGGTTCTCGTATCTCCCTGCTTCCAGGGAGATACGACTCTTAATTTGATGTGAGTCTAGATCGGGTTAATTTGACACCTTATACGCGGTCGTGGGGTAAACCGGTCATGCTGAGTAGGCGTTTGAACCGAATCCTCGGTTCTCGTATCTCCCTGCTTCCAGGGAGATACGACTTCTTAATTTGTGTAACTATCATGTGAGTCGATTTTTCAATCAAGCTCCGAATCGGGCCCCCAAAATCAATCTTTTTCCTGGGCATTGGCAGACGGCATGTATCTACCTACTCTACGCGAACTATTAGAATCTTCGATGTCTTCACATCCTCATCTTCAGTTGGCCGAGATGCAGACTACCGGCATACCAACTGCAATACACTTTGTTTATGCACTGTCATAATCAACAACTCTCTTAGGATCTCCACCCCAGCCTCGCCTTCACCAAATATTTGAATTCACCGAGAACACGATGCAGCAGTCAGAAATTTTGTACCACAAGGGCAAATTTCTAGCCTCGCCACCGACAAACCAACGCCGAACACCAACCAGGTATTCAGTCCTAAAACTTCATCGTGGCACACATGACTCTGCATTCGTGTCAGGCTTGGTTCGGCGTACAAGTATCTTATATTTTGTTACCGAGTTTTGTAATCTTTGTTTGCTGGGTGGTTGGGCCTTCATATTGTCACCGGAAAATTCCAGTCGTCCCATCTGCACAAAGCTGCTTTTCAAGTTTATCAGAATCTTTACTCCAAACAAACTCCGAAACAGATGAAGGTAATCGTGATTTCTGTCATTCAGTTGGTCTCTCCAAATCCATCTGAATAGTTTCCCTCGTTTGCAACTCAAGCTACTGAAAGGTCGTACATCAAATTTCAGAAAGCGTTATCTCCTGTTCTGCCCATTACTTAGTAAACCGCAGACTTATCACAGTTCGACATAAAGGACACCATTTTCATAATCGTCTGCTCCCCTTGTCTGCCACTTTCCACTGAATTTTTATGAATTGAGCACTTTTAGTTGAAATCCATGAGGTGCGCTGCTGAAAACTTCATCCGTTGACTGCAAAAGCTTTCC